CGTTTTCGGGTCCTCGGGGCCTTCCACGGGCTCTGGGACTGTCAAAGAACGATTCACGATGAAAATCGGATCTTGGGGGAAGCCCCATCGTCCAGGACCCTTTTCCGTCAGGACCCGTTCCCCCCATGCTAACTCATGCTCTCGTTTTTTCTACCCTTTTGTCTCCCTCGTGTGACCCAGGCCTCCCAGATGGGGTCCGATCACATGGGGGAGAAGGTCGCGCCGCAAGGCCGATGCATCGGCGATGCGGTTCGATGTAGAGCCTGATTTTTTCCCCGCCGGCTGCTTCGATGCATCGCCGACGTCGCTGGTGCATCGCCAATGCATCGCATCACCGATGCGACGCGATCCCGTGACCCCATGTACGCCGACCCCATCTACGTAGGATGCTTCTGGGTTTTTCGGCCAGCCAGGGGGGGAACTGAGATGGGGCGGGCCTTCTCAGAAGTGTTGAAAGGCCTCGGGCCTTCGGAGATGTTTCCCCAGCTTTCCCCGAAAACGCAGCAAACCTCTCAGAGGGCCCGGAGGCTTGGGAGAAACCTCGCCGAGTTCTGAAGGGGGCCTTTTCTCTGCCCCCCCTCCCCTCTTCGCTCGCCGACGATGGGTGGGACGGCGCCAAATTTCGGGCGACGAAATCTATACATATCCACTTCTCCCTGACCATGCCCATCTTGAACCCAGGAGCTGTGTATGCGCCCTCCTGGCCAAGCCAGGAGGGCGTGGCGTATACACCGCTGCGGGGTTGAGGATGGGCCTGGCCAGGGAGCAGTGGATGTGTATAGATTTCGTCGCCCTAAAATTGCGAGCGCCCGCGCGGATCCTGGCGGAGCCGAGCCCTGGTGCTCGGGAGCGGGGCGCGCCCCCCCCGGGCAGTTGCCGCCCCCCCTGCCTCAGGAGGCCGGGGCCTCTGGGGAGTCGGACACCCCCGCCGCTTCGGTACGGGTGAGGTGAGGTCCCAGACCCCCTCGAGTCATGAGAAAATCACGACGGGAGGTTTTTCATTATTTTCGGCCTCTGGGGGCCCTTGCGGGCCCTCGGGACCGTCAAAAAACGACTCAGGACGAACAACCGGTCCCGGGGAATGGGTCGAGACCTCGGGGGGTCGACGTCATGAAAAAATCATGACGTCGGGGGTCTGGGGTGAGGTGAGGTGAGGTCCTTCTGTCGCGGGCCACGGGCCACTGGTCACGGTCCTTCTGTCGCGGTCACGGCCTGTGGAGAGAGGGGGTTGCGCGTTGCCAGTGGACAGAAGGACCGCTTCAAGAGCGGATTCATCTGGTTAGGTGAGGTGCATCGCTGATTTCGGTGGCCAGTCCGGGTGCCCGGGTGCCCGGGTGCCCGGGGTGCCCGGGGTGCCCGGGGTGCCGGGGTGCCCGCGGGTGCCCGGAGTTGCCCAGGGGTGCCCAAAGGTGCCCTGGGGTGCCCGGGTGCCCAGGTGCCCGTGCTCTCTTGCCCCATAGCCCTAGAACCCTAGAGACCTATAGCCCAGTAGCTCTATAGCCCTATGACCCAATGGCCCCATAGTCCCGTAGCCCTATAGCCTGATAGGCCTATAGCCCTATAGCCCAATAGCCCTACAGCCCCATTGTCCTATTATCCTTGCTCTATAGCCCAATCGCCCAATAGCACAATAGCCCAATGAACCGTATAGCCCAAAAGCCCAAAAGCCCAAAAGCCCAATAGCCCATAAAGTCTTATATCCCTACAACCCTATAGCCTTCTAGCCCTAAAGCCCTATAGCCCTACAGCCCTACAGCCCTGTAGCCCTATAGCCCTATAGCCGTAAAGCCCGATAGCCCTAATAGCCCTATAGCCTTACAGCCCTATAACCCTATAGCCCTACAGCCCTACAGCCCTAAAGCCCTATTGTCCTAGCCCTATAGCCCTAGCTCTCATGGCCTTCATAGCCCTCGCAGACTTCATATAAACCTAAGAAGCAATCACAAAGGGATCTCATCTAAGATCAACAAAAGACTCTGACGTTTTTTTCTCCAGTATCATTTTTGCAGTGTGGGCTCCCTTCGGGTAGGAGATCGATTACAGAATTCATTCACCCCTAGAAGTGTTTTCGTTCGTCGAGTCTGTGAAAAGCGTGTAAAGTGGTCGTAGGTATGCAAGCATGCTGTATTTTCCGTAGACTCGACGGATATAGTATATATATATATACAGATATGCATATATGTATTTATAGATATATATGTACATCTGTATGTATGTATGTTTGTATGCATTCATGTATGTATGCATGTATGCATGCAAGCATGTCTGTATATGCATATGCAAATGTATATGTATATGTATATGTGTATGTATATGCACATGTACATGTATAGGTATGTGTAAATGTATATGCATATGTACATGTACATGTACATGCATATGCATATGTATATGTGCATATGTTTGTATACGCATATGTATATGTATGTATGTAATTTTGTATGTCTGTATGCATGTATGCATACATGAATGTATGTATATAGATGCATGCATGTATGTATATATATGTACGACTGTATACATGTATGTATATATACACGTATGAATGTATGTATGTATGTATGTATGTATGCATGTATGTATGTATGTATGTATGTATGTATGTATGTATGTATGTTTGTATGTATGTATGTATGTATATACGTATGTATGTATGTATATATGCATGCATGTATGTATGTATGTATGTATGCATGTATGTATGTATGTATGTATGTATGTATGTATGTATGTATGTATGTATGTATGTATGTATGTATGTATGTAGGTGCGTATGTATGTATGCATGTATGTATGTATGTATGTACGTATGTATGAATGTATGTATGTATGTATGTATGTATGTATGTATGTATGTATGTATACATGTATGTATGTATACGTGTATGCATGTCTGTCTGTCTGTCTGTCTGTCTGTCGGTCGGTCTGTCTGTCTGTCTGTCTGTCTGTCTGTCTGTCTGTCTGTATGTATGTATGTATGTATGTATGTATGTATGTATGTATGTATGTATGTATGTATGTATGTATATGTATATCTATCTTCTGGGGTAAATTCATTCTGTAGTCGATCTACTACTCGGTGGGTCTGGGGACCCAGATCAGCCGCAACTGGAAATGACGGGAAGCGCCTCCGGCGTGCACCGTTGATTCAGGGGCTTAATTTTCTCTAACTAAGGGGTACCGATTCCATCCCGCACCTCGCTGGCGGATGACGGGAAGCGCCTCCGGCGTGCACCGTTGGTTCAGGGGCTTGATTTTCTCTAACTAAGGGGTGCCGATTCCATCCCGCACCTCGCTGGCGGATTCCGGAAAATTGCGGAAAAATGGCCGTTTCGCTCTAGACATCCTCGAAAAATCGGCTCCGGAGGGGACTCCGAACCGGCATTATCTTGGAGTCGCTCCTGGAGGGCTTCAAAACGGCCCCAAAGAGCCCTCGAAGGCCCCGACACGACCCAAAAGGGCCCCGAAACGGCCCGAGAGGACCCCAAGACAGCCCCAAGAGAGCCCCAGGAGAGCCCCAAGAGCCACCCAAGAGGGCCCCAAGAGGCCGCCAAGAGAGCCCCAAGACGGCCAAAGGCGTCCAAGAGTCTCCAACACGGCCCAACAGGGCCCCAAGACGGCCCAAGAGGGCCCCAAGACAGTCTAAGAGGGCCCCCAAAGGGCCCCAAAAGGATCCCCAAGAAGGCCCATAGACGCCACATGATAGAGCGATCGGTAACGCAAAAAGCTCTCCACACCAAGGCTCCCAAGAGCGACCGGTGACGTGACAAGCTCGTGACATCAAGGCTCCGACGAGCGAACGGTGACGTGAACAATTCTCGACACCAGGGCTCCCAGAGCGAGCGGCAACGTAAAAATCGCTTCACACCAAGGCTCCGAAGACACACCCTCCAGGGACCAAGTTGGCGGCTTTTTCGGCCCAGGACGGCTCCAGAGACCTCCACGACGGCCCCGGAGCTCTCCAAGAGGTTTCCAAGACGGCCCCAGAGGCGCCCAAGAGGCCCCAAGACAGCCCAAGAGCGCTCCAAGAGAAGCGAAGATGGCCCCAAGTCGAAGCGCCTTCGGCGTGCACCGTTGGTTCAGGGGCTTCATTTTCTTTAACTAAGGGGTATGACGGGACTAAGGGGTATGACGGGAAGCGCCTCCGGCGTGCACCGTTGGTTCAGGGGCTTAATTTTCTCCAACTAAAGGGCACAGATCGCATCCCGCACCTCGCTGGCGGATGACGGGAAGCGCCTCCGGCGTGCACCGTTGGTTCTGGGGCTCAATTTTCTCTAACTAAGGGGTGCGCGCCGCACCGGGGAACTCGCTGGCGGATTCCGGAAAATTGGCCGTTTCGCTCGGGACGTCCTCAAAAGCGTCTTCGAGGTACGAGAAGCAAGCGGGACGTTCTGGCTGAATCCTTGAGTAAATATATATATATATATATATCTTTATATCTATGGGTTGCCGCGCTGCACGGCGTTTTTCGTTGGCGGATTCCCCAAAATGGCCATTTCGCTCGAGACATCCTCAAAAAATCGAGGTGTGGTCTGCCGTGCTCCTGTGTGAGCTGTGAGCTGCGGGGCCTATGAAGGCTAAAAGGAGCCCGAGGCCCACGGAGCCCGTTGGCCCCAGGGCCTCAAGGGCCAACCCTAGGGGCCCCGAAGGAGCCTCCGCAGGGGAGGGCGCGAAGCGCCAGACGCGCGAAGCGCAAGATTTCAAAGAAATCAAGAAAGCAGCGGAGGCTGAGGCACGCATAGCACGGCCAGCAAGTCAGCCTCGCTGCAAATGAGACGCGAGGCCCACCCTCTCAACAAGTGACGAAGGGCCTCACGAACCTCGAGGTGAGGCCAGCACACGCATTGCAAAGCCAAACGGGCCTGACCTCGACGTGAGGGCTGAAACACACAACAAAATGAAGGTGCTGCCTCACGCACACAGAAAGAAGATGATGGTGTCTGCAGACCTGCAGACTATGAGAGGGGCGGACACAACAGGAAGAAGAAAGTGATGCTGCATCACGACCCCTCATCACCATCTGCAAGGCGGCGCCTCTTGCGCCTGTCCTCTCGCGCCGACTCAGCCACTGCTGACCACTCGAGGAGGCTCGCCTCGTCCAGGCCGTAGGCACCAAGCCGCGCCTCCCGCGAGGCCCCCGCGGGGCCAGGCTCCAGCGGCTCAGCCGCCGCATCGCTAGCGGCCGCCGCGCCGCTGGGGGGCCCGCGGCTGGCGCCGGCGGCCTCCCCGCCAGGGGCATCCTCGGGGCGGACCCCCAGCCACTGCAGGAAGCGCACCCTGGCGTCCATCGGCACCACGTCCTCCTTGCGCAGGCTGGGCACTGCCGCGCCGACCCGCTTGCTGCCGCTGTGGGGCGTGCCAGCAGGATGCCGCCCCTGCATCCAGCGTGCCTTCTGGTCGCGCCTGCCCTTGGGAAGCCCAGCAGACCCTGGGCATTGCTCCTTGAGCTTGGGCGCCGCGCCTGAGCGCCCGCCCAGCCGCGCGTGCGCCCCGCAGTGGGTGCACGCCATCAGCTCCTGCTCGGCGGCGCCCTCCCCGCATCTGGCGAAGGCCAGGACGTGGCCAGCGACGACGAAGGCCGTCGCGCCGAGGGATACCCCACCAGCGCGCGCCGCCGAGGCCCACCCGTCGCCCGAACCCGAGTCGGACGGGCGGCTGCTGGCGGGCTCCACCACGGGCACGGCGAAGGAAACAGCCGTCCGCTCGCTGCCCTCAGGCAGGCCCTCGCAGTCCTTGACCTCGAACCCCTGCCAAATGAGGGAGGCTTGCGCCACCCAGCATGAGAGCTCCCTCACCACCTCCATCGTGCCGAAGAACTCGCGCTTGGCCACGGGGCTGGAGCGGTGCAGCTCCGCACCTGCCTTGGCCCAGCGGTCGGCATGACCATTGCCGCGGAGGTCCGCCTCCGTGATCTTGCCATCCATCACATCTCTGGCGGTGCAGTGGGCTGCCACCTTGGTAACCTTGAGCATGTCCACGTCCAGCGAGGCGTAGATCCCCTCCCAGAGATGGGCATTGGGCTTGTTGGCTGCCGTCGCGTACCTCTTGCCCAACGTGAGGCAGCTGACCGTAGACGCACAATCGATGAGGATCTCGTCCACACTCGGGCCCAGGAAGCGAGACAGCATCCAGACCGCGAAATCCTCGCCGTCCTTGGCCGTCTGGAAAGGGCAGAGGTCTAGGCGCACGCTGCCGTGCACCGCGCACTCCATGTTGCCGTCGGAGTCGCACTGCACGATGCTCCAACCCGCACGCCGTAGGCTCTCGTACTCGGTGTCGAGCGCCGACCCATCCAGGTATAGACGCCCCCCGAGGAGACCGTCGGCGGGGCGATTGCACCACATGACCGCCATGGCATCCGACCTCGGTGCGGCCCTCGGGGGCAGAGGGAGCCAGCAGCGCGCAAAGCATTCCCCCGCCTCCTCACCACGGCCACGTGCACGGTGTGCGCAGCGCCGAAGGCGGTCGGAGGTAGAGTCGCGCCTCGGCCCCGCGAGGACGGGACACTCGAACAGCCTGTGCCAGAGGCTGCCGCGGGGTGCATCGCAAGCGCAGCAGCGAGCATGCTCCCTCTCCCCTGCCGAGTGCAGACGGGTCTGGGGCCAGTGGGCGTTGGAAAGGAAACTCAACACCGCCGCCTTCTCCCTGGGGCAGAGCTTGCTGCCAGGCCCGAGGACCTCCGAGAAGGCCTCCCAGAACAGGGGCGACGGGGGGAGCGCACCGTGGCCAAGGCGGGCCAGCTCCGACCTGTCCGAAGCGCGCCGCGCCCCTGCCGCTGCCAGCAGGCCCAGCTCGCGCGGCCCCATCATGCGCAGGTCCAGGATGTGGCCGTCGTCGGTGGCGAGGCGGGTGCCTTGGACGAGCCTCCAGCCCACCCTGGTGAGCGAGAGGGCCAAGGCGTCCACTGGCGTACGGCAGTGCGCCCATGGGGCTGCTGCACCCGCATGCCTCCGCTCCGCCTCCTGCACGGCCGCCTCGAACATGCGCTGCGAGACCTCCCCCGACTGAAGGAGGCTGGCCGCCATCTGCACAGCGGCACGAAGCAGCGCGGGGCTCGGGTCGAGGTCGATGGACCGCATGACCTCCACCGCTCTGAGCCTCAGCCCGAGTGAGGCGCCCTTAGGGAACTTCCCAGCCGATCGCACAGCAGCCAAGCGCCACGAATGAAACTCCCTATCAGGTACACCAGTCACAGTACGCCCCCACAGCATCGCCGCGGTGGGCCCAGCACGGTGGACCATCTCGGTCGCCGCACCAGCTGAGCGAAGCACCCCGAGCCTGCGTCCACGCCGAAGGCCGCCGCCCGCACGCACAGCACCTTCATGCACCCCTCGACGAGTAATGTTGGCGTCGGTGCCGAGGTTCCTCGCCTGCAGACCCCTCTTGAAGGCCAAGCCCTGCGCTGCCCACGCCTCGGAAAGTTCCTTGGCGAGCTGCGGCGACGATGCCAGGAAGACCGACTTACTCTCGTTGAGTGGGAGGTGCTGTTCACGCAGCTGGCGGACCACTTCACAGCTGGAGGCCAACAGCTGCTGCTTAACGAGTCGGGCCGTGCCGACGGCCTGGAGCGAGATGTCGTCGACAACATTCCTCGGCGTGACAAGCGGGCACGTCGCCCCCGCGGCCAGGAGGGCGCCCAGCACTGGGAGCTTCGCAACTGCTGTCGCACACGCACACCCAGCCAACACCGTACCTGTCGTGCCGAAGGCGGGGGTAGCCATTCCCGCCGCGAGGATCATCCTAGGGGCCTGGTAAGAGGTGAGGAGGCCGCGCAACAGCCTGAGGTTGAACCCGAAACGTACAGCATTCGCCCAGAGAACATCGTGACGCACATGCTCGTAGAACTTGCTGATGTCCAGGAAGAGGCTCGCGGCCTCGAACTGCTGGTTCGCCTTCGCGAACCCCGCAAAGCAGTTGTGCAGCCACCCAGCCCGCTCGCAGTCCCGCCCGTCACGTCCCCAGAAGAAGGGGAAGGCGTGGTCAGCCTCCCAGCGGGCACAGCACGGCTGGCGGAGGCGCGACCACAGCCGCAGGACCAGCGGCAGCAACGCAATGGGCCTTACCCCTCCATCTGCCTTCGGGATGAACACCATCAGGGAGACCTGCCCGTTGATCGATGCAGGGGCGTCGTCGTAGGCCGCTAGGATGTCCAGGATGCGCTGCTGCAGCGCCACGGGCAACAGGAGGATCTGCCGAGGGTGCAGAGAGTCGCACCCGAGCCCCACCGAGGGGCTGTAGCGCTTGCAGGCCGCCTGGAGCTGCTCCAGCGAGATGGGTGGCAGCCGCCACTCGCCAACGTCCCAGCTGCTGGCCCCTGCGCCCAGGGCGAACCCATCCTGGAGCCACAGCTTCTGCCAGACACTCGTGAGCTCGCCGATCGCTGCCATCCCAACAAGCCTCCTGCCCGAGTCAGCGTCCCTGACCGTCGGCGGAGGCGTCGCCTTCGAGAAGCGGTGGGCCAGACGACCGCCCTTCTCGACCGCAGTCTGTGCCCAGTTGCGCCAGGCCTGGGCGCTCTGAGCAGCGTCGCGGCGCTGCGATGCACCGAGCAGCCCTTGGAGGTCCCGAACGGCATCAGGGCTGCCGTGGACGCCCGCCTGAAACACCAGGTCGCCTAGTCGATCAGGAGCTGCGCCAGGGAGAGCCCCACCTACCGAGTCGGCAGCCTCCTGCACCGCCTCTAGCAAGAGCTGCGCCCTGAGCTCGGCCTGGTGCCCGTACCAGTCAGCATGCCGTGGGTGCCAGCGGCCAGTCCTCTCAGCGCGCACCCGCTGGAGGGCCACGTCCAGGCAGCTCCTCAAGCGGTGCGTGAGGAGGCTGAACCTGAACCTGGCATCCCGTCTGACCAAGGCACTGAGAGGCTTGAGGGACAGCCGAGGCCCCTCTCCTCTGCCGAGATGACGGGCCAAGTCTGCCTGGCCGATGCCGTGGATGGCGACCAGGGTGCCTTCGGCAGCCGCCGCCCACTCGCTGAAGGCGACGGAGAGGTTGGTCGGTGACGTGCCTGCGTCCCAGGACCACTCGACGCCCCTGGGCGTGGCCTGTCCCTTCTTGCCAACCGAGTAGCACACAATCTCGGCGTCCTCGTGCGCCCGAAGGAGCTCAGGAGCAACTTCGGGGAAGCGTGCGGGCCTGGACGGAACCTCCACCAACGCATCTGCCCGAACGTCCTGGAGGCGAAGCAGGACAGGGCGATGAGGGTGCAGACCGAAGCCCTCGAGTGTGGTGGCGCAGGAGGCCGTGCAGGCAGCCAACGCTGCGGAAGCCACGAACCAGTCGTAGAGGTGGTCACATCCCTCGGCATGGCACGTCGCCTCCGAAGGCCCCAGGACGTGCCCCCGCACCGCCGCGGGCCACCCCAACTCCTCCAGGGGCTCGGGCTCCATGTTGAAGTCGGCTTGGAGGACCCACGGGATGTCGGCAGAAGAGCCCGTCACCTCCGAGATGGCCGAAAACATGTCCAGGTTGGTGCCTCGAGGGCCCACAGAGTGCTGAAAGTACCCAGCGAGCACCAGGATCCGAAGGCCCGAGGCGGCGGCGACCTCCACCCCGATGAGGCGGTGCCGCAAGGCCGAGGGCAACGGGTACGCAGACTCGTCGGCCTGCAAGCCGTCCCGCACCAGAATCGCCACGCCGCCTGAGGTCGCCTGGGGCCCCTGCTTCTCCGTCAGCGCCGCCTCGTGGAGGAAGGCCGCGTAACCCAGGCCGCGGGCCTGAGCCGCCGCACTGGGCAAGCGCTCATGCGGGAGCCTCGTCTCCTGCAGCGCCACTACGTCGGGCCAGTAGTCGTACGCCTTGAAGAAGGCCTCGATGGCTTCAATACTCCTGCTCCAAGTGTTGCCATTGCAGCCGAACATGACTAGGCCAGCTCGAAGCTGCTGGCCTCCTGCCCTGCCGACCAGCGGCGCCTTGCCGATGACGGCTGCCTCGCGAGCGGCGCGCCCACCAGCGCCAGACACAGGGCCCGCTGCGCCCCTGGTCGCGGGACCCTCCGCCCCCACCAGGACTGGAGGGGGGTCCTGGCCCCTCGCTCCAGCGCTCCGCATCGGCGTCGGCGGGCCGCTCGCGGTAACGGGAGGTGGCCGTCGCTGAGGAGGTGGCCGTCCCTCCGCCCCTCCGGTTGCCAGCGGGGGGTGCGCCTGCCCATCACCTACGGGGCCGAGAGCTGCGACGACGTGGGGCTGAATCCCACCGCTCTCGGCCCCTGACTGGCCGTCGGGGGGCCACCTCGGTGTTCCCGACCGCGCCAGCTGGCTACCTCGGGCAAGGGAGCTCGGCGCCGCCCGCCGCCTGCGAGGGGCGCGGACGCGCCAGCGGCCATCACAGCGCCTCCTCCACCTGTCCCAGCAGCTGGGCCCGCGCACATCCCGAGGGGAAGGCGTCCCGCTGTCCCCGACGTCGAGGCCGACTGTGGAAGCTGACCTCTCCAGCGCTCCCGCATCACCCACGGCGCGGCCCGTGCCCAGCAGCAGGAGCAACGACAGCAGCCGCATCCACCAAGGGGTCGCCGTCCGAGAGGGCCGCCCCTTGCTCGGCGAGGGCCTTTGCGATGCAGGGCTCCACCTGAGGCCACGCGCCCAGGGTCGCCCCGTGCTGTCCGCGGGCCGCTGCAGGGCCGTAGGGTCCGTCCGCTGGCCTGGCCCGCGTGGCTGGCGGCCCAGCCGCGGTCGGCCCTGCCTGCGGGGCTGCAACGGGAGGGGCGGCATCAGGCCCCCCAGAGGCCACGATGTCGAGCGGCATGTCGTCATCCTCGGTCGCGAGGCCATCGTCGCCGACGCTGTCGCCCCAACGCTTCCTGGCCGAGCTGCTACGGGGCCTGAGCACATCAGCGACCGCCTCCTTCTGCGTGTTGAGAATCTCGACGATCTCGGAAAACCTGGGAGGCAGCTCGGCTCCGTGCTGCTTGAGGAGATCCGAAAGGGCGCCGACTTGAGTGAGCAACCCCTGGACGGCGTCCCCAAGCGGGCTCGGCACGCCTCCGACAGCTGCGTTGGCCCGCTGGATCGCCTGCTGCGTGGCCTTGGCCCTGGTCTCTTCCAGCACAGCAATCTGCCCAGTGACTTCATCAACTCCCAACTCGGCTGCCGAGAGCTGCTCCTGCTTCTCCGCGATGAGCTCGCGCAGCTCGGACGCCTGCAGCTGGAGCTTCTCCCTCTTGGTACGAGCCGTGGCCAGCTGGCGTTCGACCTTCTGAATGGCGTTGGCCTCAATGTGGAGCACCGAGTGAGGCGGACGCTCGGTCCGCTGGGCCTCCTGGACGGACCGCTCCAGGGCGGCGACCTGGTCCTTGGCCTGCTGGAGGGCATTCTCCGCCTCACGCTGGAAGTCCACTGAGAGCCCGAGCGCAGAGGCCCCCTGGAGCGTGTCGACGCGCTCCCTGGCCGCCACGAGCTGCGCCTGCAGCTCCTCGATCTGGGACTTGGCCTCTCCCCAGGGCCGCGCTCGCCGTGCCCTGCTGTTGGGGGCGCTGCTGGGCGCGGTGCTCCCCGAGAGGGCCCGCTGGGAGGCCGAGCGCCTCGCCGCGCGCTGCTCAGCCCTACCCCTGGGCTGCTGCACGAACCCGTCAGCGTCCACCCGCGGGGGGGCCTTGTCGGAGCGGTACTCCTTCGTCCATGGGGGAGCACTGGTGCCGCACGCCTTGCACGTCCACCGCTTGTCACACCAATTCCAAGCGTTACAGCCACGCTTAGCACACAACCAGTACGCCCGCCTAGCCAGCCCCGAGGCAACCTCCGACATGGCGGCACACCGAGGGACTGAGAGCTGCACGGCCGAAACAATCTGCCCTGCAGGCACGAAGGAGAACAAACCTGGCGAAGCTTCTGGCTCGTGGCAGAGCGCCCCTCGCGCTCAAGAACGCCCGACGGACTCGCGGTCGTCGGGTGCGCCATGGCCTTGAGCCAAAATGGCTACGGACGTGCTCCTGTGTGGTCTGCCGTGCTCCTGTGGTCTGCCGTGCTCCCCACAGGAGCACGGCAGACCGCGCGCAGGAACCGAGAGGAGCACGGCAGACCAAGACGAGGAGCACGGCAGACCAGGCACTGAAACCGAGAGGAGCACGGCAGACCAAGACGAGGAGCACGGCAGACCAGGCACCAAGAGCGCCCTCAAGACGACGGAAAGGATGACCAAGACGAGGAGCACGGCAGACCAAGACGAGGAGCACGGCAGACTATGCCCTAAGAGTGCCCTCAAGACGGCCGAACAATCATCAAACAAACAATGAGTCTAACGTCGTCTTGGAATCGTTTTTGAGGGCATCAGTACGGCCCCCCAAAAACAAAATCGGCCCAAAGATGACCCGCAGAGTGCCCTCAATACGGCCGACCATGACGATTTCGCTGGGGACGTGTTCAATAAATTAAGAGTGTATCAGCACCGTCTGTTGCAACAACGCTGTGCTGGTCTGCCGTTCTCCTGTGGTCAGCTGTGCTGCTCTGCCGTGCTCCTGCGGTCTGCCGTTCTGGTCTGCCGTTCTGGTCTGCCGTGCTCCTGTGGTCTGCCTTCCTGGTCTGCCGTGCTGCTGCCGTCTGTCGTGTTGCTGCGCTGTGCCGTGTAAGCTGATAAACCGGTCAGACCGATGAAGAAAACGAGAGTCGGGTTACAACGGCTACGCAGATTTAAACTGCTAGTCCAAAGGCTCTCCAGAGGACCCCAACATCTCCCAAGCACACCCCGAGAAGTCCATCATCATCATCATCCTCATCATCATCATCATCATCATCATCATCATCATCATCACCATCATCATCACCATACTCATACTCATACTCATCATCATCATCCTCCTCCTCCTCATCATCATCATTATCATCATCGTACGCATCACCATCACCATCAGCAGCAACATGATCATCACCAACAACAGCAGCGTCAATGACATGATCTGGTCTGCTATGTTCCTATGGGCTGCCGTGCTGGTCTGCCGTGCTGGTCTGCCGTGCCGGACTGCCGTGCTCGTCTGCCGTGTCGGTGTGTTGTGCTGGTCTGCCGTGCGGGTCTGCTGTTCTGGTCTGCCGTGCTGAAGCTGAAGCTTTGGGGGCTTAAAGCCAGAGAAAGAGAGAGACATAGAGAGATAGAGAGGGAGAGAGATTCTCTAACTAAGGGGTACGGGCTCCATCCCGAAACTCGTTGGCGGTTCTCTAACTAAGGGGTACGGGCTCCATCCCGAAACTCGTTGGCGGATGACGGGAAGCGTCTTCGAGGTACGACAAGCAAGCGGGACGTTCTGGCTGAATCCTTGAGTAAATATATCTTTTCTTTAACTATATGGGTTGCCGCGCTGCACGGGATTTTTCGTTAACGGATGACGGGAAGCGTCTTCGAGGTACGAGAAGCAAGCGGGACGTTCTGGCTGAATCCTTCAGTAAATATATCTTTTCTTTAACTATATGGGTTGCCGCGCTGCACGGGGTTTTTCGTTAACGGATGACGGGAAGCGTCTTCGAGGTACGAGAAGCAAGCGGGACGTTCTGGCTGAATCCTTGAGTAAATATATATTTTCTTTAACTATATGGGTTGCCGCGCTGCACGGGGTTTTTCGTTGGCGGATGACGGGAAGCGTCTTCGAGGTACGAGAAGCAAGCGGGACGTTCTGGCTGAATCCTTGAGTAAATATATCTTTTCTTTAACTATATGGGTTGCCGCGCTGCACGGGATGACGGGAAGCGTCTTCGAGGTACGAGAAGCAAGCGGGACGTTCTGGCTGAATCCTTGAGTATATATATATATATCTTTAATGACGGGAAGCGTCTTCGAGGTACGAGAAGCAAGCGGGACGTTCTGGCTGATCCTTGAGTATTATATTAATATATATCTTTATATCTATGGGTTGCCGCTGCACGGGTTTTTCGTTGCGATGACGGGAACGTCTTCGATGTACGAGAATCAAGCGGGCTTCTGGCTGAATCCTGAGTAATATCTATAATATAATATATATATATCGTTAACTATATGGGTTGCGGGGCTGCACGGGAGTTTTCGTTGGCGGATGACGGGAAGCGTCTTCGAGTACGATAAGCAAGCGGGACGTTCTTGCTGAATCCTTGAGTATATATATATGATCTATTATATATATATATATATCTAGTATATATATTATATACTTTATATCTATGGGTTGCGGGATTGCACGGCGCCGTTCGTTGGCGGATGACGGGAAGCGTCTTCGAGGTACGAGAAGCAAACGGGACGTTTTGGCTGAATCCTTGAGTAAATATATATATATATATATATATATCTTTATATCTATGGGTTGCGGGATCGCACGGGTTTTTTCATTGGCGGATTCCCCAAAATGGCCATTTCGCTCGAGATATCCTCGAAAAATCGAGGTGTTGGAGGCTATCGTTTAAGACGTCTTATGTCAAAAATGACGGTTTCGCTCGAGACAACCACAAACAATCGGGATGTTGAAACATGTCAAAATTTTTTGTTGTGCATGAAAAATGAGCGTTTCGCTCGAGACATCCTCGAAAAAATGAGATGCCGACAGAGGTGTTTTAGAACCTCTTATGTTAAAAATGACGTTTTCGCTCGGGACGTCCTCAGAAAATGAGCAGGTGGTCTGCCGTGCGCCTGTGTGGAGCACGGCAGACCACGGGCTGAAGCACAGGAGCAGGCAGTACACACCTCGTTTTTTTGGGATGTCGTCTGGCGAAATGGCGTGGTTGCGTGTCCCACAGGAGACGTGCAGACGCGCGTAGGAACGAGAGGAGCACGGCAGACCAAGACGAGGAGCACGGCAGACCAGGCACTGAAACCGAGAGGAGCACGGCAGACCAAGACGAGGAGCACGGCAGACCAGGCACCAAGAGCGCCCTCAAAACGACGGAAAGGATGACCAAGACGAGGAGCACGGCAGACCAAGACGAGGAGCACGGCAGACTATGCCCTAAGAGTGCCCTCAAGACGGCCGAACAACGGCAGACCCCATAGGAGCACGGCACCTGTGGTTTGCCGTGCTCCCCACAGGAGCACGGCAGACCGCGCGTAGGAACCGAGAGGGGCACGGCAGACCAAAACGAGGAGCACGGCAGACCAGGCTTAGGAACCGAGAGGAGCACGGCAGACCAAGACGAGGAGCACGGCAGACCAGGCACCAAGAGCGCCCTCAAGACGACGGAAAGGATGACCAAGACGAGGAGCACGGCAGACCAAGACGAGGAGCACGGCAGACTATGCCCTAAGAGTGCCCTCCGCTCGAGACATCCTCGAAAAATCGAGGTGTTGGAGGCTATCGTTTAAGACGTCTTATGTCAAAAATGACGGTTTCGCTCGAGACATCCACAAAAAATCGGGATGTTGAAACATGTCAAAAATTTTTGTTGTGCATGAAAAATGAGCGTTTCGCTCGAGACATCCTCGAAAAAATGAGATGCCGACAGAGGTGTTTTAGAACCTCTTATGTTAAAAATGACGTTTTCGCTCGGGACGTCCTCAGAAAATGAGCAGGTGGTCTGCCGTGCTCCCGTGTGGAGCACGGCAGACCACACAGGAGCACGGCAGACCACACCTCGATTTTTTGAGGATGTCTCGAGCGAAATGGCCGTGGTCTGCCGTGCTCCCCACAGGAGCACGGCAGACCGCGCGTAGGAACCGAGAGGAGCACGGCAGACCAAGACGAGGAGCACGGCAGACCAGGCTTAGGAACCGAGAGGAGCACGGCAGACCAAGACGAGGAGCACGGCAGACCAGGCACCAAGAGCGCCCTCAAGACGACGGAAAGGATGACCAAGACGAGCACGGCAGACCAAGACGAGGAGCACGGCAGACTATGCCCTAAGAGTGCCCTCAAGACGGCCGAACAACGGCAGACCCCATAGGAGCACGGCACCTGTGGTCTGCGTGCTCCCCACTGGAGCTACGGCAGAGCGGTAGGACCGACAGGAGCACGGCAAGGCCCAAGCGAGGAGCACGGCAGGACCAGGTTAGGAACCGAGAGGAGCACGGCAGACCAAGACGAGGAGCACGGCAGACCAGGCACCAAGAGCGCCCTCAAGACGACGGAAAGGATGACCAAGACGAGGAGCACGGCAGACCAAGACGAGGAGCACGGCAGACTATGCAGGAAGAGTGCCCTCAAGACGGCCGAACAACGGCAGACCCCACAGGAGCACGGCAGACCACAGAAGAGCACGGCAGACCAACAGGAGCACGGCAGACCACACAAGAGCACGGTCCGTAGCCATTTTGGCTCAAAAAGGAGCACGGCTTACGGCAGGCCCTCGGGCGCGCTGGCGCGCCCGCCAGAGGCCATGGTACACTCCGGGTGCGGAGCGGCTTGGGCGGCTGCGTCTGCCCGCACCCTGGCTCGGCGCTTGCGGCGCGCGCGCCGCCAGGAGCTCGGGCTCAGCAGGGCCGCAGCGCTGGCGCAGCGGACCAAGGTCCTGCGGCGTGCGCTGGCGGCACACTGGCAGCTCGCCGACGTCCTCGGCGGCTTCGCGCCCTGCCACGGCGACGCCCTGGCAGCTGTGAGGCTGCTCGGCGCCGCGCCTGCAGTGCTGATCGATGCCCAGTTCGACCTCGAGGAGGGCAACTGGGCGCGGCACGCGCCGCCTCCAGGACAAGCTCGTCTGCGGCCTGTCCCCACCGAAGCGCGCCGGGCTGAGGTTGCCGAGGCGGCCCTGGCGCAACAGGTCCTGGGCGCAGTGCCGCTCGCGGCGCCCCTGGCCTTGGAGCGGCCGCCTGGAGTGTGGCACGAGGTCTCCTCGCGCGAGTGGGGCAACGCGCCAGCCGGC